CTGGGTCTCCTCAAACTTGTCCTTCTCACTGCACCATGAGAAATCGGCCCAAAAGGCATTCGCCATTTTACGGATGACCCGACGCACCTTCTCCCGTGTTACTCACATGGACTTCCAAATACTCTATGGGGCCTACGCCAGACCGCTCCTGGAATACGTCAACCAAGTTGTCTACTCAGGAAGTACGAAAGACGTCACCCTCATTGGGCGTGTCCAGCGGGCCGCCACGAGAATGGTTGCCGGGCCAAATCCGTGGACTACGAAACGCGTCTCGCGATGCTTGATCTCTTTCCCCTGGAGTACCGTCGCCTCCGAGGGGACCTAATTCTTACTTACGCCCTGTTTGAACAAAGCTTGGCAAACAGGTTTTTTACCGTTGACCCAGCAAACACCCGGCGGGGACATAGTAAGAAAATCTTCAAGCTCAGGGCACACACATCCGTTAGACAAAACTTTTTTCATTTCGGGTAGTAGCTGCGTGGAATGACCTTCCTCCGACGGTTGTACACGCTCCTTCTCGAACCCAATTTAAAGCACTATTAGACATTTATTTATGCGAATCCTCGCGCTGGCAAGCATACTGCCCCGCGCTGAGAACATAACGAGCAGTGCTACACCCTTTTTCAATTGTGCCTTTCAGGTGAACGACAGCCACTGACCGACAAGAACAAAACCGACCCGGGAAACTTGGGCAAAAGCCTCAATCCTGTGTACCAATCCGTGAATCTGTGAATCACCCATAGTCTACGGTGGATCTCACCTCGAAGAAAACAAACTGTGACCTTATTTGATAGGGGCCTTGTTAGGAAATTTGCTGGGTGCATTTCCCACAAACGTTTACCTGTACAATTTTGAGGGATCATTTTTTTCCCAAACGTAAACCGTCGCGGGCAACTGCGTCTGAATACTTCGGTGGCGAGCTCAGGAGTCTCAAAACTGGCGCGAAAATACACAACTCCCTCAGCAAGACCGCTTATGCAATTTTGTCATGGCAGTTAAGGCAGCCTGTTGCCAAAAAGGTTATACCGGCTGGAAATTCGTCCCGGAAGATCCAACCCTATTAGTTAGGCCAGAAAGGGCATAATCTCTCAGGCATACTTACGTCATCCAAGTTATCATGAGTCATCGGAGTTGACAGGAGTAGAATTGGAAGATTTATTCGAAATTAAAAGGATTCATTCTCAATGATTGAACTACTTAGATGGAACAGCTGAAATCTTCTAACAACACAGATACCCGAGTGTAATTGTTTTATCGCACCAAATCGTAGCTCCGCCGCTTCGCCTCGTTTTTGACCCGGTTGGCCCTCTCTCTGTGCGTTCAATGAACAAGTCATCTTTGGTGAGTTAGTTTGAGGTTTACTTCCATGGCTGTACATATTCGTTTGTAAAATCATTCATGTTCTGAAAAATCAACATTTCATCGTGGACAACTGTCCAAATGAACTACAGCAAAAAATACGGATATGCAAGATTGAAGATATGGCTTTTGGGTCACCAGAAGGACTGATATACTTCTCGGGACAGTTCACGTCTATGGACGAATATGAACCCGAACACCCGGTATAACGCGAAAACTGACCCAAACACCATGGATGCGGGAGAACAGCTTCAGTCTCTTGAGTTCGTCTTTTTTCGCAGTAACTCTGTGCTTTTGGTGGACGATTCCCTTTCGTGTGCAAATTCCTTAGTGACTTTGGCTCGAGTGAGTTCATAAAACTGGCATTAGAATTTTATGTAGTGTTGTAGAATTACCGAAAAATGGCGGGAATGAACGTCAGTAGTTGAAAGAATGCACACCACTTCGGTTCCTTGCTAGCTAATGTCCCGCGCGGATAAAAAGTCGCCAGCAGCCTCCGCCAACCTATTCCATCGATAGCATCAAAACGGAATTTCTCCGAATCTAAAGCGTTGTGCACACAAAGCAACTGTAAGAGCGGTCTTACTCTGTGCTTTTGAAACTCGGCCCTCTAATCCGAGGAATTTAAGGGTCTTCAAATTGTTGACCGCATATTAAGAGTTAGCTGGGTGCAGTGGGCGCGCAACGAGATCGTGCGCAAGTTTGTACTTAGCAACGAATCCGAATTTGTCCACCAACAGTGCTGGATAGGGTATGCATTACTAATGCCCAACCACCGTCTACCGAAGAAAGCGTTGTTTTGTGTTCGAACCGATTGATCATCGAAGGTCCGCGGGGGCCAGGCATTAACACATCAACGTGAATTGAAAGTGGCTATAGTCATAATGCACCCTCTGGGATCTTCGTGTCTTCCCGGTGTGTTCCCACGTAATCCTGCTTGCTGATGACAAGACCCTGCGGTACGTGGGACGAAACCGATTCCAGTAGCGCGCTTGCTGTCATTTCTAAATAGGATTGTCTGGTTAACGTTCATCTTTCGTTGCGCGTGGCACTACGGAGCCACACCTCACTTCTCACTTGCCTCACCGTGTCGACGGACACCCGTAAAAGGTAGGTGCACGAGCGGGTGAACAACGGACTCACCGTATGGGATGTTCACGTTAACACTTGGCATTGGAAAGTGGGAACCCGAGAACATCACTACCTGCAATACGTAGGTGACGAAGACAACACAAAACCATTCATTTCCCAATATACGCCGTTAGGCTGGGTAACGACATCAATTGAACACTAGTGTGCATTTCCGGTGTGTTACACCCAGTGATGATAATGATAATAGTAATGATAATGACGGTGGTAGAAAAACAGGAGAATCATATCAACTAGACTTAGTATGCTTGGGTGATGCTGGGAATGTAAGTCCTTCCGCATCACCAGTGTCCGAAAATGTGATCTACGTTTGGAGGGTAGGAGGTTCTTATAAACTGGCTTTCTCGGTACTGATGCTGACGGTTGGAGAACTACCGCCGCAACAGGCTGCAAACACTCGCGCTAAAATTTGTACTGCCTGATTGTTGATCTGTTCCCCGAGTTTGGCATCAGCAGGCAGTCATTCTGCGTGATAGGGACCAGTTCGAGATGCATGGAGGGGATCCTGGGCGATGCTGCAAGTGTATGAGTTGCCTGCTGTTGGCCTAGTGCTGCAGTAGAGGCAGCGGTTTTTGGCGACGTACGTGGTGCATGTTATCATCATTAGAGACATTAGTGTTGACTTTGGTGCCTCACTGTTGTATACCCGTAACAGCTGTTTGAATATTTGTAAAGAGAGACGGGCAAATGACAGGTAGACTTGAACGTAACCTACCGCAAGCATTCTACGTTGCCTACGCCTCCAACCGCTCAGTGAAACAATCTGGCAAGAAACTGTCGGCTGCCGCTGACATGGGTTAGCCGTCAATACTTTCGACGTCACCAACCGCGATTTCTTCCTAGAAGGTGAACTCTCTGAAGAACACCAAAACTCTTAGTAGTCGCTTTCATGTCCTTATACCAAGTCTCACGTTTCGCACCTCACGGCTAATGTCATTCTGGAAAAGGCCTGACACCGGTTTTATCAGTAGGTGGTGTTTCGGTATATGTCATTACTACCGTCATCTTAAGCTGTAAAAACGGCGTACTTGCTGAGTACTGTTTATAGCTTCCATATTTCCGTTCGCCGATGATTTAAAGAGGTGGTGGTGGCGTAAACAGAGGGTTGTCAGCGAACTTTTCATTGGAGAGATCAGGAGGTGAGCCATGCATTGAAGGCAACAGCATGAGAGTGCCACTGAGCCAAGTCTGATAATGTCCCTAAGCATTGCTGTATCCAGTCGGGTTCTCCATCCAGGGGGAGCAATGGCCAGCGCTGTTGAGTTTGCTGGTAATGGCAAGCCGTTGTTTGACACCCTGGCTTATTCCCACCCTTCGTGTGGTTACGCGAAGAGGGTCCTTAGGGGGGGTCGGCCAACTGACATATACGCACCACGTGACCAAGATAATGTGACCAATTGAGTGCGATCAGTTCATCTATCGTAGACGAGTTATTTCTTCTGGAAACCACTCGATATAGCTGCAAGATGGCTCAGTGGTTAGAACGCGAATTTACTGACCGGAAGGTCTGTGGTTCTGCCCCGACCTCTGCCTCTCGAATTTCCTTACCTAGACTTGATCAGCCTCGCAGTATCTCAGCATTCATGCTTCCTTCGGGTGGCATGGCAGTTAGACACCGAACGGGTGCTACAGCTGAACTATGTACATCCGATATGATTTGGCATTAGTGGTTTGGTGTTCCCACTAGACTGGGTTGATGCCCCAAGGACATTGACGGTCGAATACTGGAAGTATTTTGATGTGGTTTGGTGTGTTTCTTTCTAACTTGCGAGGGCCTAAATTGAAATGATATGTCAGGCGTCCGCGCACAATGGTTTCATCGGGATTAGGTTGTTTGCCGCGCGAAGTACGTCAGTCTTGAGTTGTGGCTCTCCGCCGGTATTTGATGGCCAAGTGGCCCAACTGGGTGCACGGTTGATTTGCATTTAGTGCCCGCCAAATTACGTGATTCGAACCCCTTTGCTGTAAGTTCGTACTGACCGGAAACGGATGATGACCAACACATGAGTGTATCAGTCGCTCCCCGTTGTCTGTGTGACGATCATAGACTCCGAATCGACCACTCAAATGTGATTCCAAGGAGCTCAGATGAACATGGGTCAAGGATCAGTGCCGATTTCTGTGCTTCTTGCTTGATGAACGATCCCTGATTATTTTGCGTCGAAAGTATCTTTCTCAGTGGTAGAACTGCAGTCCGCTGGGGCATATGCCGACACTTCAAAGGGGCGCCGTTTTTTCTGTCAAGGGGCACTGGGCTTGATTGAGCTGGATAACTGAACGGTACAAAGACAATTGTCCAGTGGAATCCAATTGAGTTCAGCTCTCGGGGCTGAGTGCAGCTCACACCATCCTCTCCTCTGGATCATCGGAGTGAAATGTGAAAGAGCTGAGTTCGTCCTTGACGTCTGGAGATGCATGGCCATGCTTGAATCTTGTGTGTGTGTCTCAATTTTAGGAGAGTCTGTTTGTCAATTCGACATAGGATACGGACGTTGATAGCTTATATGTAGAAAGTGTCTAATGGATTTAACATGGTGTTATTTTGTTTAATATTAACAAGCATTGGGTTATATGAGATTTTTGGTCAGAAAGCTGCAACTAGATCATCCAACAATGTTTGCTTGTGTGGTGGGAATCGGTCGGGGAGGTACGTCGATGACAAAGAAATGTTTGGGCAAATAGTACTTTGCAGTTGCCCAGTTCAAGGACAGCAGTTTGGTTGATGTACTCTGTCTTGAGGCTTTGACCCAAAAGTCTCTCCCGCAGTGCAGCCCGACAATGTGGGGTTTTGTTAGGGGACCCTTCTCCTAGTCTTCATCTCAAAAGTCTGACCCGGGAAGCAGCGATCAATAAGGTTTTTTGGGGACCCTTTTCGGAACAAATGTCTCAATAGTTTGATCTGGTCTGCGGCACAGGTCTGGCCTAACCCGAGAGCGCAGAGCAGCCACCTCCAATGCGCGGCTACCTCCTCCAGCTTCCCGAATCATCGGTGAACGAAACTTTGGCAGCTACAACCACTGTACAACAAGTACGCGGTTATTACAGCTGACAATGATGATGAGAACAGCCAGCTCATGTTCCTGACGGATTTACGAGACGTCCGAGCTTCCGACTGTGAATCATTGTTCATAGAATCGCTGGATCTATATTTCAAGGATAACGACTACTCGTCGCGATTTCTGTTACTTAGGATGCACATAGTTTATGATAATCGTTATGCTCTGACCTTTGTCACATTCGTAAAATTTCTCCGGGAAGTTTTCTCATGATTTACTGCGTCCGCGACCTCCCTCTCCACGCTTGCGTGCATGTTATTGTGTAGCACCGTACTTCTCTTTCATAAGAAACATCAGATTTATAGCACAGTGTTTTTTATATTGACTTTTGGCTTATCTGAAGACTCGGTTCAAAATGAAGTCAGAATCTAACTGTTCTAGGATGCGCGTGCCGGTAGAGTTCCAGGAAGCTTATGGACCTATACAGATTTCTAATGTCTTACGAAATTTGCTAACCACATTTGGAAAAAGGCGCCTCACCTGCACTGTTTGGCATTAGAGCCAAACGCTCATTGTTTTTTAAACCCACAGTTGTCTTCACGTGGTACGAGACATCTCTCCCTTAGTGGCAGCCATCACCATCCGTCAGTCTCCCAGATGTCCTCTTTTCCTGTACCCAAAGTGTGAAAAGATGTGCTTTTGGAAAATCCTGTCTGACCTCATTGAAAGACCTGCTGTTTGTTCTCAGGGAATGTATGTTGCGTCAACCACTAACCAATGCATCTACATCCTTCTCCCTCTTCCTTTTTCAGTTGCCCCTCGTAGTTGGCTCGATCCTCTGCAGCCTTCGGAAAACAAGCGCGGACATCTGCGAGGCACAATACAGCGTGGTCAAATAGGCGCTAGAAGTTCTGCGAGAAGTCAGGATATCTGTAACTGGACTTCTCTTTGGCGCGGGTTCAATTAAAGCACGCGAAAAGGTGGTGTTGTTCTCTCCTTGCACGTGTCTAAATTCCCCTGGAGTGTTAGTCAATTCAGTACCAACAGGTAAGCTTTTGGGTATCAAAAGTTGGGCTTCACTGCTACGATGCCTTTGTATGATATTTGATTTGGTTGTGACATGGTGCGAGCCTGTCATATCAGATGAATCTCCATTTTCAGTGTCTGTTCACTTCCTGAATCTAGAGATTGAGGTTGTCTGACTTCTCGATTGCTCTTGTCCCGATGGTTCTCGTATTGTGGTAGCAAAGCGCTAAACGGGCGCCGCGGCTAACCGTGGTTCTAATCTGTGCATACGTAGCATCGCATTGTGTTGCAATGCAACCTGATTACAACTGGCTTCTTTTTTGAACATTCCTCTCCACTCTAGGTAGTGAACACTTCCACAGATGGAACGGTTTCTTGCGCTTTTTTATCGTGATATTACAATAATTCATGAGCACCAGACTGCATCCAAGGCGTAACTTTAGCAAAGGTTCATTCTACAGCGAGACGGAGTCTATCTGATAAGCGGCTATGAGCCCGCTTTCACATGCGGGACGAAACCGGATTCAGAACAAGTCTCACTCGTTTTTGGTAACATAGAGGTAGCAGGCGTTTCACTTTCCAAGGGGTTGTTCATTGTTCTGCGAATAGCTTAAAATCAGTACGTGGATTAATAATCCAATCCTTCTTCATTCTATTCTTGACCGCTCGCTGTGGACGGACTGCATTTCGCTCTATAGCTACCCAGCTACACAATTGATTTGCAGTGTACACTTACGTCCCAGCATGGCGCGTGTTTAACCGTTTGAGGTTCCTCCACCAGGATGGCAAGAAACCCACAGAACTGAGGTGTTTCAGCTGTTACTCAAAAAAGTACCGCAGCATCTCGCGCCAGATGGAAAGATTTCTTGTTTTAATTGCTGCACCTGCTGGCTTAATTAACATCTGTTGTAAGCGTCCATTAACCCTAACGCAGCTGAAACGTTCATTTGATCCGTTGAGCCAACCTTTCAATTTCAGGCAGAAGTTTGGCTAACATTACGTTTCCAATTTTAAAGAATAAAGATCATTACTAAGCCTCATAAGTGCGATGAACCGAACGGATGATCGTGCAGCTATGATCGAAGTTGTCCCCTGTTGGAAATGGAGGCACCAAATCAGATACATTTATCCAAATGTAGGCCTAAATGACCTTTAAGTAGTTGTGACTTTATGCATAAAATTAGACCCATCTGACTGTCACACACTGTCATGCTAAGCCGTCAGTGGAACAAAGAATGCGTGCGTAACGCTTCACGGATTTGCATTCATAGTTGTCGGACTTCGAGTATTTTTAGGCAAATTTTCAAACAGAAAATCTGTTTTAGTTGCCTGAAGCAAGTGAAAATCGTACACCTCCCGTACCACCTTCGTACACCCCGTACCACAGGTGAAGAAACACCAGTTCGAACCGACCCAATATGTCAGTGGCCATGCCCAGACACTCTACCGTCTCGATGCCGTCAAGCGCGACCTCATCAGCACGAGAGTCCGTACAATTTCGGAATTCCTTGAAGCCCAAAATGTCGCGACAGTTGCAGCAGCCCCACGTGACTTTGGTGGAACACAAAGGGGCACGTTTTCTGATCACCGATCAACCGAATCATGCCAACATGGAGAATTTCATATTGGTGAGTACTTTTTGTCTGTTTTTGGCCATTTACAGAACTGTTTGCCCAAGTGGTGGTTTCCCCTGGGTTATCGTTTTAACGTTCCGTGAGAATAGTGATTTAGTTAGTCTCGAGAACAAGTCTAGTTTTAAACCACTGTAGCGTTACCTCTTTGTCGAATTCAGCACCACTCAGTCATAGCTGAACCTTCTTGGGCTTGATAGAGGTTTGCGGGGTTTGCTATTGGTGTGAACAACTTCCCAACCGTTGGTGTGCATGATGGTTGCTGGGCAAAACATAAGCAGTATCATACTAGCTTCCTAATACAATGTACGTCTCGGGGATGCAGCAAGACCTGTACATTGCGTATAGGTCGGGTGATTATCCACTCGCTCTCCTGAATTTAACAAGTCGAAAGTTTCGACACTCATTTGCGTGTCACGAGAGACTGAATCTCTCGTTTAGGATATTCTTCAACTGAATGGGCTGCACAAAGGCCGCCTTATGTTTCAGTTGGCACGATATTCGGGATATCGCAGTGTATAATGTCACAAAAGAAACAACTCACAAGTTTGCTGAAAACTCTTCGAAGAGTCGTCGTGTGTCGATCGTGTGGCAGTTTTTTCATCAATCGAATCCAATTCGAAAAAAACAAAGATCCATTTTAACGATCAACTGGACTGTTCTACGTATCAGAAGCTGTGCTCCCAATGTCCCGTAATTAAATGTGAAAACACGAAGGAAGCGATTTGACTGCTTGAAATGGGATAAATGCCGCTCAGAGATTGTTTGAGGGATAGTATCGACAAAGCCACATTCCAGCTTAAGCGCAATAGCTTAGTGGTTAAGGCACCAGCTTACGGACCGGAAGGTTCATGGTTCGAACCCAACCTCGACTGCGCCTGTTTAGGCGTGAGCAACCTGGCAGTATCCCAGCTCTCGTGCCTCATTCCGTTGGCATGGCAGCTAGTCACCGAAAGGGTGATACATCTGAACGATGGTTACTATTTTAGGTTGCACGATGAACGGAATCGATCCGAATCGATGTGCTAAGATATCTTCTTCCCAGTCCTCATAGAGGATTACCCCTCCACTGTTGTTCTTAGGATGCTGGAACAGGCGGTTTCCTACGAAGTAATCAACCCATAATGATTCAGCTGCAAAGTTAAAAAAAAGTCCCCTGCACTCCATCACATTCCCCAAGGTTCCATTCTTAGTACGCTCAAAATCCGCTGAAGGCCTGGTGGCTGATATTGGCTTACTACTTCTCGAGTAACCTCTACTCTGTAGTGAAGTTCCGCTGCCCTCCGTCATCATCATCATCATCATCATCATTGTCAGCTTCAATAACCGCGTACTGGTACAGTGGTTGTAGCTGCCGCAGTTTCGTTAACCGATGATTCGGGGAGGTGGGGTAGGTAGCTGCTCATTGCAGGCGGGAGATGACAAATTGGTGCATAAATCCAGCACTGTCAGTGGGCTATCAAGCGGGGGTGGGGTGGAAAAGGAGCTATGCAGTGAAGGAAATAGCTTGGATGCACGAGCGCCATTGAGGGCGCGACTGGGCCATGTCTGACAATGTCTCTAGCCATTGATGTGGCCCGTCTCGGGGTCCCCATCCAGCAAGACGGCAATGACCAGCGCAGCTGAGTTTTCTGGTAATGGCTTTCATACTTCGCTGTCAAGTCATTGTTTGACCGCCTCTGGCTCTCTTCCATCCTTCACGTGGTTGTGCGAAGAGAGCCCTTCGAGGAAGTCGGTCGACTGGCATACGCAGCACGTGGTCAAGCCAGCGCAACCTATGCAGTGTGATCAGTTTCCGAATGCCACTACCCTCCACTTCCCACATGCTATCGGATTGTTTGTCATGTGATCTGACTTGACTGCGGGTACTACAATACGCTCTACACAGTTCCACTTGTTCGAAATAGTTCATTTCAGCTTCAATTCATCTTAGTTGTCTTGAAAGAGTCTGGACCATCAACAATAAACTTGTTAATCGTGGTGATATCGTCGGTGAGCAAACTGATGAGGTTTACAGGGTTAAAAAAGCTATCGTTTTCGTCGGTTAATAATCAAGCGATAGTAAAATCACAGGGGTTCAGCATTTGTCTTCCGAATACCAAGAGAGAAATATCATTCGATTCATTTAACCCGTGTGCAACGTCGAATGAAGTATACTCACATACTGGGGCATACTCAATCGTTACGTAGACAAAGGAGCTGGATAGACCCAATTCCAGGCATCCTAAAATGAACAATAAAACCGTATACTTATGTTGCGGTCTCGGGCATTTTTTAATTCAAACGGTCGATTTTTTGTTGGTTGCCGATGGCTTCGCTTTCGCACCTTAAGGAGATTGGGGGGAGGTATCAACAAGGTATTTCATAATTTGCTCACAGCTTGTTGGATTGTTCTTATATTGGACGTTCTTTTCATGTAGACAGGATCGTGTAGGACAACCTTGGTCATGTTGGCAGTGTTGATCGCTCTTTTACACTACTTATTTTCCAAAGTGTTCTTGATTTCACACGCACGCGATTGTCGTGGCAACAGGAGGAACGAAACTGCATAGGAAAAAATGGCACGTGCATTGTTTGATATGTGGAACGTAAGCACAAGTGAACAGATCTGAATTCCCCATCCTTAGAGAGATGAATATGGGCTGGCAACTGCAGATACCGAGCTTTTATCGATTCTGGGAGACGTGGAATGTTTTTTTAGCATCTCTCAGTTCTCTACCTGTCTACCGCACTTTGGAAGTACGTCTTGAACCCCAGTATTTGGACACATCGATTTGCGAAGGTCGTGAGCGCGGAGGGACCAGGTCTACTTCAGCACGGGCAGCACAGTGTACTCGAAACTTCCTACTGTTCAGCTGTGTACGATGGGAAGTGACCTATTCTCTTGTGTGACCAGGTATTTTAGAGAATCAACTTTATAGGTCGCCTCCTTGCTGGCTGGAATTGAGGTGGCCTGTACAGTTATGGCTGTGCGGGTAAGGTTCATGTGAGTCAAACGACAAAGGTTAATACCTGTGTTTCAGCAAATACGACATAATAGATCATGATCACGTGAATAAACAGGACCTTGCGGGTTAGTTCACGCCGCGTAGTCGACATGGCCGCTCACGTGATCGTGAAGACAGTCAGGCAGTATGAGACAATCAAACTCGTTAAATGGAGCGAAGGGATTTGTGAAGTAACAAGTGAATGAATTTAATTCATTACCAATCTTATTGGTTCGCCAATTTGTCAAAAATTTCGGAATGATGCAGCTGGAAACATCCAGAACGATCAAGACCGACTGGGAGTCACGGGTCTGTCTATTGATTGGATTTGTCAATCGTCCGAGTTGCCAGCATTCGTTGATCTCATCCACCTAATGCGCCGGAAAAATCGAATTTATTTCATGGTTCAGAGAAGACGAGTGGGCTGCTTGATTGAGAGTCCCGAGTGTTTGAACCGGTCTCCAAACATGCGCTTCAACGACGGACAATGAAGTGGTTTTGCCTCACGTCTATCGATCAGACTGTTTATTTAACTGCGAACAAGCGCGACGCGGCTGGTATCAACAATAAAATCGATTACATGCTTTACGTGTGACCGCCGCCTGACAATTCCTGCGGTTGTCTGTGGTAGGTTAGCTGTTTCCGCAGATGGGCGTTCTTCCTGATTGCATAGCGACGAATCTCCAGTGCGTTTTACTGGGGCGCTGTCAAGACAACCGTCGTCTCATGCCCCGTCTTTCCAATTGTCCCCGTGAACTGTAAGCTGCGGTCTGTTTTTTTTTCATTTTAAATATTTTTTTCATACTATGACTGTCCAATGTGCACTTTCCATTCCGTCATCCCCACCTAAAATGTACATTTCTTGCGTATGTTTGCTCAGTAGCTTCTTAATTCATCCATTTGAAAAATGTATACCTCTCGTTTTCTCAAGCTCATTACCCCCGTCCAATCTACTTCACTTTCAGACCTGTCGTTTGCATAAAGTACACATACTGGTGCGCGTTTGCGAATCAACTTACAACGAATCGTTGCTGGAAGCTGCTGGAATATGTGTTGTTGTAAGTGTTTCTCTTACAAATCCATCATGTATGGTTCAAGTATGATTCATGTTTGATTCAAGATAGACTTCCTGCCGGAATGTAAAATAATTTGCTCATCTAAGTTTGACTTTGGGATTGAAAGTGGAGATCTCACTTCAGAATAGGTCGTGAGCCTTCGGATACAGTATATGGTCTGTTTAAAGGGTACTTCTGTCCTACAGTAGCGGAAGCACTCATCCGTCCTCAGTCCTTACTACATGATCGGTCCCCCAATGTGGCAGTGACTACTTCTCGCCGCACTACTTCCGTACGCGGGCAAAATCAGGCGAGAGTGGACGAGGATTGCGATGCATTGGTCCTGGATTCGCTCACTACACTAGAGAATAACGTAGAACAGCGACCATAAGTAATATCAAATGATGAGCCGATCCTCAACGCAGTACTGGCAACCAAAGACGGAACCCAGCCACATTGCATAAGTACACTCAACCCGCGTACAGTCCAGAGGCGCCCACTCGGACAAATCTCAGCTGCTTCTGGGCGCTTGTCTTTCCCGTGTTCAGCCTTGAATTGGTTGTAGTCAGCCATGAGGTATAACGCTGTTGCAGACACTAGGAATGAATCGGTCGTCACCGAAAAGCGCATCTTTCAGCTTGGTGCACCAGGCGAAGTGAAGGTCAGCGAGGTATTTCGAGCTCACAATAGCTCTTTTTAATCTGTAAGAATAGACATCATGCATGCTTAATCCTATGACTGGATTAGTCGGCCGAGCATGTTATCCAGTCCACTTAGTTGGTCGTTTGTAACATACGCAAATGGTTTGGTCCACTGTCAGTACTACGCTCTCACTCTCTGGCTAACCCTTCCAGACCGATCAAGGCACGTTTGTTATTGTGCGTTGATCGAATCCAGTTTGATTATAACTTCACAGTTTGGTGAACTGACGAATATGCCAGTCGTTCAAGTAATTTCCAACCTTTTTCGCATTTTTGTCCACGACCTCTGGTTCAAACTGTGTTTTCTTCATTTCCCAACGCGTTTAGTAATCTGGTTGGTTAATAAATAAAGGTGGTAAGCAACTACGTTCAGTAGAATCGTGAAATATATGACAAAACTTGAGGTGCCAACGTTGAACTCTGCTGATCAATGTAAAAAGGCTACACTATACTGATCCTTTTGATTGGCTGGTGAACTTGTGACTTGGATCTTAAAGGACTCTGTGGTTGGTCGGTCATGATGTTGGAATTGGTCCATTCAATGGAAGTCCTACGGCAGTGAAGCATCGTGTTTGAACACTAATGTCATGCTGTCGACGATGTTGATGATGAATGGAAAAGTGATTGGATGTTGGAATTGGTCCATTCAATGGAAGTCCTACGGCAGTGAAGCATCGTGTTTGAACACTAATGTCATGCTGTCGACGATGTTGATGATGAATGGAAATCCGAGTGATTGGACATGGTTCTTTTGCAAACAAGGTATGGTCTGATGGAATTTCACGTAAGCACCTTTATTCGACCTTGGATTTGTTTGCAAGAACGAGATACTTGGATTGTTTAGTTAACCAGTTTCTCGCATGTGGGATCCAATCGGGCACCAACGCTTTTCTTTGTGTTCGCTCGGACATGTGTCGAACAGTGTGTTCTTTTATCCGTCTTCGAAGCATGCTATCAATGTATTCTGCACAAAAGTTGCAAGTCAGTGAACATATAATCACTGATAAGCCGAGGAATCTCTTTCGGATTAGATTTGTGTACAGAACTTTGAGTGTTCCGTTAACTAATAGTCAGCATGATGTGAAGCCGTTGGATAACAATTAACTATACGCAGTTGTTTCTTGGGCCTTATCAAGGTCAGTCCTCCAGGTGGGTTCCTCTAAAGATGCTTGCGGGTGCCTGTTTTCTATGGCTATGGGCGAGATGGCTCAGTGTTACGAGCGCCGATTTACTGACCGGAAGGTCCGTGATTCGAACTCGGCCTCTGCCTCTCGACTTCTCCTGTGTAGGTTTGGGCAACCTGGCAGTATCCCAGCCCTCGTGCTTCCTTCTGGTGTCATGGCAGTCACCCACCAAAAGGGTGCTACAGCTGAACGATGGCTATGCATCCCAGTTCTGTATCCAGGATCCTCTGAGGGCAGATATTACAACCCCCGTGTGTGAAGCAGCTAACCAGATTTCACTTGTGTTTCAAAACTGTTGAAATGTGTTTACTGCATGGACCAATTTGATTTCTCATAGACACCTCTTTGTACTTTATCGTCAGTTTTCCTTAGGTCATCAGTTCTGTGCTCCGCTGCAGTGGATTTGCAGTTTGGAAACTCAGTTTCTCCTCTTTATCTGATTCCCTAAAGAAAGTAACTACACTTGTCGTTGTTTCATGACGTTCGTTGGGTTCAGTAAAACCGCAGCTTCCACTTGCCTTCTGTCAACGCCAAGAATGAGACGTTAGCCATGTTCCACTGGGGAGTCGGCCTTCTTCAGATGTGTCGGAAAATATTCGTATATCTTAAGCTGTACAGTATGCCCAGACCCAGTCAGCTGTAACACCCTTTCGGTGCCTAGGTGCCATGCCACGCGAATGAAGCACGAGGGCTGGGATACTGCCAGGTTGCCCAAACCTGGACAGGGGAAGTCGAAAGGCAGAGGTCGGGCTTGAACCACAGACCTTCCGGTCAGTAAATTTGCGCTCTAACCACTTGAGCCATCTCGCCCCACAGTGTGCCATCAGGCCTCAACAGGAACAAAACAATTACGTAGCACTTCTCAATGACCCCTCCTAGACGGTCTTCACCACGGGCGTGTGCTGGACCTAGGAGTCATGGCCCGTATACCCAATCCGTTGATATCATTCAGGACCGTTTTCGGTTGTCAGCCTACTTTTGCTGCCCTGTATGCTATACCTGACTGTTCTCTCAGGGAGTCGTTTCCGAAGCACAAGTCAAAGGATGTGATTATGCATCGCGTGGCATGTAATCTCCGGTTTCCTCATTCTCAATTTGTGTTCACCCACTCAATGTCTCTGTATACTCTATCTAATCAACATCGTTTCTTCTAACCCTATTCTACCATTTTTGAATTCTCACAGGACTTGGAATTCGAGGACGGAGCTCCTCCACCGGAATCAGTCTTGGAAAAGTGGTTTCAGCTGATCAATGATTTGTGGCAAACTCATCCAGATGGATGTGTAGCTGTTCATTGTAGAGCTGGCCTTGGACGGTAAGTAGCAGTATGACAACCTGGCCAAAATGCCTGTTGCATTTCCTAGTTCACGGAGCTATGGTTTATCGATATTACTGCAAGTAATTTGAGATCGCTCATTGCTTTTCAGTTGGGGAGCATGGAGAGACTTACTGTTTGTTTGTCCTTGCTTTCTGTTCTCACAGTCCGCAGTATGCCAGGTGATCCACTACGTGGTACATATGGACTCGAGTGCTAGTCAAGTCTCACATGTCTTTAGTAGTATCTACTCTCTAGATGCTGTCATACAGTGTCATTCAGTGTTTTTCACTATCCTGTTCCAAAATAACTCGTAGGCTTTGTCTGTTAGTGAGCGAAACTTCATCTACACGCGTCTGAGAGCATTGAGTAAAAGTGTACATGATGAATATCTCCTCTATATATATATATATATATATATATATATATATATATATATATATATATATATATATATATATATATATATATATATATATATATATATATATATATATATATATATATATATATATATATATATATATATATATATATATATATATATATATATATATATATATATATATATATATATATAGCATGGGCGGTTATAACTTTCTGGAAATTCTGGCGCGTTCTGGGTGCACCACTGACAACCATCATTCGGTCAATACTGGGTCATGATTGGCTGTTGGGTCCAGACTTTCGATCAATCAGAGCTCGCCTTGATGCCGGACCGGCAAGCGGCCCGACTTCTGGCCAATCCTATGCGTGATAGGCTTCTCAAGCTTAGCAGGGCCTAACTACGACCGGTATCTGTGTGAAATTTAGCCTAACAGCTGTCAAACCTGCAAACTTACAATCATCTACTACTTCAACCAAGTCCGGACCCTTGTAGTTATCAATTGACCAGTCCAATATCGTTTTGCCGTTAGACGTGTGGGTGCTCGGCAGAACTGAGTCGCTGTTAACACGTGCGCGAGATCAGGTGGTTGTTGGCCGAGGATGAGCTAATTACTCATCGCGGTGGTCGATGTGGCACAAACGATCCATGTGCCAAATGATCTTGTGATGTCGCTGGATAAGCGTTTCGTGGCCCAGTTCATCATAGGTGTTTTGTCGCTCGATGCGACCATAACGACGACTCATCGATACATGATGACTCTCAGTGTATTTCAGCCCAAAGAGGCTGAATCATTTTTGATAAGCAGCAGAAACCGCAAGTATTACTGGAAAAGTTGACCAACCCTTCGGCCTTTGCCTAGCGCACACAATGCAGTCATGCTGCGAGAATCGGTCAATTCGGGTATCTTCAGGTCTTTGAGCATTGTTGTCTCAAATCCATGGCCGGAATCAACTGGAACCAGCGAACTCGGCATGGGGTGATCGGGAAATGGGTCTTCGGTGAGGCAGATGATACCTCACTCAAAGAATGCATCCAACACTGCAAGCCAGGGTAACTGTGTCACGTGCTACGCATGCCTAATTACCGCTCGCCGGGAAGATCGCTGCTTTCCGCGCCTAATTCACAGTGGTGGAAACCTAGAGGTGGATAGAATTTGACATGACAAAAGGGAAAGAGGGGTGTTACGAAACGTTTGGGCGCTGTTGTGCTTTTGGCCTTCCAGGATGGGGTCCAACTGACCCTCCCTGCGCTTGGCTGGAGACACTGAACCATAAGGCGACTGGCCAATATCAGGAAGTTCATGTGGTCAGATTGTGTGAGTGCTTTAGGAGTGGACACTTCGGTGTTCGGTTGGCCCTAGGCCCCCCAATCCTCTCTTCTATCGATTGTAAGTCTTTATTCAGAGGAGCTGACCTGTTTGTACGGCAATGAAGCACCAGTGTTCTCTGTTGTTCTCTGGTTTTGCTCTTAACGATGGTGATGAATTTTCAAAATAATCGACCTAACAGATGTCTCCTTAGTCGGATTTAGAGCTTCTGGCTAGATTGCCTCGCCCCACCACACTTAGCTCATAGCACGTCTTGCAAATCGTCTAAAAACGAAACGCGTCCCCGGGAAATCTTCCCTTTGCTTGCTATCCATGAAGACGCCAATGATTTGTTTTTCACCCCTCCGATCCGTCACGAAGAGACTGGATCTTACCGTGGTTTGACGGTTTGCGCACCTCAGTGACCCATTGAGCTATACTGGGGGTGCCCCCGCAACACTCACCCCAGACCCAGTATGACGGTCACTTTGTGCCTGATGTGCGAGTCTTGACTGTGCTAGCGCATACTGCGCCTTGAAGAGCATTCACCATTGTTTGTCCTTTCTTTGGTTGTTAGTCTTTAGACGCCTGTTCCCATACCAAAATCTTTACATACTTTGGGATTCACCTCATCAGACTGGCACTGTCCTTGGCATGATTTCGAATGAGACGTTTCCCTCTTTTCTCCCATATTCTCCTGTTACTCTTTCGCATTCATCGCTTGCATTCACTTCTTATGTTTGTGACCATGCTCTTCAAAAATAAATGATAATAGTCTCTCATACCAGCTTGGTCAATGGTCAGAGGTCTGACGAAAAGTCGTCCAGCTGTAGCGCACCCTTTCGGTGCCCAACTGCCATACCACACGAATGAGGCACGAGGGCTGGGATACTCCCAGGTTGCCCAAGCCTAGACAGGGGAAGTCGAGAGGTAGAGGTCGGGTTCGAACCACGGACCTTCCGGTCAGTAAATTCGCGCCCCAACCACTTGGTCCATCTTGCCCCATGTATCTCCATTTCCCACCAAACAACGCTACCTTGCGGTTAGGCTTTTGAGCCAAAGGCTTTGGTTGGGGACCCTAATCGTCCTCCTGTCTAGGTGCGGGCGCCTTGACAGTATCACAGCCCACGTACAACTATGATACTTATGTCTAAGAAGTATGGCAGCTAAGCATTTATTTTGAACACTGATGTCATGTTGTCGATGATGATGATTCACCCCCCTCCCTCAGGTGGCTCTCAGGCTAATCCACGTCAAATCAAGCAAGTGTAGAACGTTTTTCTCGCTACCTTTTGATTTGAAATCCATTGAAACAAACTGCAAAGCAAAATTGACCCGCGCTCTAAACTGCAGTATCAATCGATCCTCCTTGTTCTTATCCGCTCAGAGCCCCTGCATTGGTTGCGGTTGCACTGATTGAACTGGGATTGCCGTACGATGAAGCTATCGAAATGATCCGCGGGTAAGAAGGTGTCGTTTTTCTTCATGATCTACTCTTCCATGTGAATTCCTCAGTCTCCGAATTCCGTTTCATCTCCATTTTCCAGTCGGCGCGCAGGGGCTTTGAACACTCGCCAGATTCAGTATCTCAAAAGTTTCCGTCCTCGCAAACGGTTGCGGCTGAAGAATGGCCACAGCGATCGATGTTGTATTTTGTAATATCGACTTGTCTGTTGTCCGTGCCTTTGTGACCCTTCTCCGCTTACTCGTACACGCACACACACACGCACGCCATTGCTGATGTGTACAAACTTTCTTCTCTCTATGTGCAATCGCTTGTTCGACCCTTGTACCTAAGTGTGTGAAACAAATGTTCTCTGGACAATCACTACCACTGGATTACTTCATGCGCGGTAGATATGTTGATTATTATCACTTTTTTGCGTGCAATTTTCACTGTAGATCCTCCTATCAGTTCGTACTCCGCCCAGTAAACTATTTTTTCCCGCGCCAGCATTTCGGTTTCCTCTTCCTTCTTTTTTTTCTATTTCACCCTTCTCCAGGGAGGTTCACTCTTATTCTGGATTTCTTAAATAAACGCATCTAAGCACACATTGTAGCGGATGACACGCCAAGACCGCGTTTATTGATGATCAATGTAACTGCTGCCATAAACGTTCACGTTTTTGCTGCTCAAGTGTTTCCACTTCGAATGTGTGTATACCTTGGAAAGTAAGACAGCTGCACTGGAATAATACCACATGGTCTCTCGACTATCATAGGGGCCACCTGATGTTTGGCAGTGGCTAGGCTACTGCACTGTCCCAACAGTTTAGTGGTTTCTCTGCCCTGCGCTTTTCCTTCGTATGACCTTCAGGATGGGTAGTTGTTATTTTAGGGGAACCTAGCGAACGAATAAAAATATAATGTTTTTTGCTCCAGAACTGTTTATCGGTTTTTTCGATGGGGGGCGAGGTGGCCCAAGTTGTAAGAGCGCGAAGTTACGGAAGGTCCGGTCCGTGGTTCGAATCCGACCTCTGCTTCTCGACTTCCCCTGTCTAGGCTTGGGCAACCTGGCAGTATCCCAGCCTTCGTGCTTCCTTCGGGTGGCATGGCAGCTAGACACCGAAAGGCTGCTACAGCTGAACGATTATTTTCTATGGGTCAGAGTTGAGTTTAGGTCGAGAGCATTACTTCGTTCTAAATGTTCTCTTCGAAGCGGATTCACTGACAAAAGATGTCGAGACTGAAGAACATCACTCTCTTGCTTAAAGGCCTTTTCTAATGGGGCTTGACTGTATCTGGTCACCAAGTTATATGAAGGCACTTGTAATCCAACGGAGCTGAGGTTTTATCCCCACGACATTTTGGTCCCATCGACCTTCAGAACTGGGTTTTCACAATTCATTAAAGCTTGATAGTTCACAGGTTGTCGCTCAGATGTGAGCCTCTTGTGCCGATCTAGCTCGTTGAAGGTTCGTGTGGCGTACTTAAACAATACTGACGATTAGTTGTACATGTTTTCGGGATTCGTGGAATACACATCGCTCCCGTTTGAACAGTTCTCCTGTTGTCCCGGCTCATTTATTCTGTTGGATTTATGTGAAAGGGAGAGTGCTATTGAACTCGAGTTTCGCTCATCAGCTCTGAACTCCGGACGTGAGACCTGCCAGGCGAGCTTGTTACCACCACTCCACCGACGCACATGGGCGCATCTGAGTTTCCACTTCTGAACGGGTGAACTTTTTCACGCTTGAGCGGCATGGAAGCTTAACACCCGCTAAATAATTTTTACTTATTTGCTAAGGCGCCCTGATGAGAGAGCCAGGACACTCGGACGACTGTTCAAACAAGACTGATATGAGCATGAGTGCTGACTATGTCTGAAACGGGTACTGTGCAGCAATTCCCGTGGTTCTGTTCTACCATGGGTGACGGAATTTTAAATTTCAAATGAACATGACCATCATTCGAATGTACAATCTCCTCGAAGTAAAACTCCCGTTGGAACAGGATTTCAAAGCACCGCGCTCAGTTGCCACGAAAGGACTAATACGTCACAATGGGAATATTTGTTCATATTTATTTATTCATTTTTTGAGAGCTGGTTCATGATTCTTTGAATTGACCCCAACTGCATGCACTTTCTAGATTTTCCCAACTATGGAATAGAGCCTAACCTTAGGACTTAGTCCATTCTGGTTATTCAACCGTTGACCGTGCCCCCAGATGAGGTTCGCTCCAGTTGGTTCATTCGGAAACAGAGGTACATATGAATTCGCTCGCAACATACCGTTGGTGATCACCTAATTAGTTAAATGAAGTTCTATTTTTTTCCTATGCAGAAGGAAGTGGGATGGTTTTGACTTTGAACGTTTGCATCATTCGTTGGGAAACTCCCTCTTTGATACAAAATTTTGGAAACCAGTTATATAATGTCCAGTGAGTTTGCGAAAAAAGTGGTAATCCCTTTCATAAAGGAAACTACTCACAAGGTTGCTGACAACTGTTCGACAGCCCACGACCGGTTCCGCCTTTCTTGGGGCTCATCAGGTAGGCGCAGTCCCCGAGTTTCCGTCAACCTTGTGTTCTTCCTGAACCCAAATTGGGCTGCCGAAGAGTTTTCAGCAACCTTGTGAGTAGCTTCCTTTATGAAAATATACTGCGACATCTCGAATATCGTGCCAACTGAATCATGAGGCGGCCTGTGTGCAGCACATTCAGTTGTAGAATATCATGAACGAGAGATTCAGTTGAGTCTCTCGTGAAAACCAAGTTGATTTGCAAATGAGTGTATTTCTCGAGTGGAAATCCTATTTGAATTAAGCGTGTTGAAGGTTATTTCGAAACAGCTCAAACAGATGATGGGGAGAGGTGTTGGGAAAATGATTTAACTTCTCGAAATTGTACATGAACTGCGGCGGATCGCTTCATCTGACAGGCCTGTAACGTGCAACTGCGCAAGCAACAGTAGCTGTCATCTCCTGAGGGTAGATTTTGTCGGATTTTGGACGCTACTGCGCGTCAGCTTCAGTGAAGGCATATTAGGCCTATTTGGATCACACCGAGTTTTGGTTGCATTTGAGCAAGTCCTTGTAAGCCTTGGCTAGTTTCCGGACGAACGGGTGACTTTCTTCTAGAAACGGGACAATTACATGGTCGCTCTCCAGAAGAAATCTTTCCTGAGCGCCGACAAACGTGAAACGCTGCCACCAATGTATCCGGGTGTGGTTGCTCTGTTCTTCGACCCCTTATTTCTGTGTAGAGTTACCTGCGCCGGTAGGTGGCATTTCCTGTCAAGTTGGTCTACTTCGATTTTACTGTGCCTTCTTCACTCTTCTAAAATGTTATCATTGATTTGTTTTAACTATGCTAGCGTAGCTTCCTCACCGGCACCCTGTCAGGTGGTATGAACTTGACAGATATTCTTGCTACATTAACGACCTGTTCCCAGTGTTCACTGCGAGATCTCAGATGCTTTCCGGTGATTCCTCTTGAGGATAATCGTGTTCTTTGGACGTGATTTTGGACTGGTTGACTAGTGTACTGCTTAATCTCCCAACCTATCTTTGTCCGTCCAGCTGCCATACCACCCGGAGAAAGCATAAAGCTTGTAGTACCGCCAGATTGCATCTGAGCGCCAAGGTCGAAAAAAAGCTCTGTGTTCAACCATTGATGTTTCAGAGCATTGCTGGAGTCTGGTAGATACACTGGATCGGTGAGGATGAGGCACGCCGTCGGAAGAAAAAAACTCGTCATGACAGACAAACAAGTCACACACCATAGGCTGTGCTGATTTGGTCACGTGCTCCGTATGCCACTCGATCGACTTCCTCGAAAAGCCTTTTCACACGCCCACGTGAAAGGTGGAAGCGAGTCAGGGAAGGCAACGAAGTATGAATACGAGCAAACTCAGCTACCATGGTCACTGCCACCCCACTGGATGGGGATCTGAGATTGGACACACCAGTGGTTACAGACATGACCCAGTAGCGTCCTTAGTGGCGCTCATGCACCCGAGCTGTTGCACTTCCCCAACTAAAAGGCCACTGACCCCCTGGATTCACGCATCAATTATATGAGCCACCACCTCTAATTGTCAGCTGTCTACCCAACTGCCCAAAGTCATCGGCGAACAAAACTGTGGAAGCTGTAACCACTGTACGACCAATACGCGGTTTTTACAGCTGATGATGATGATAATGTTGATAACTGTTCGGCTACCCAAACTTAGACGGGAACGTGGAGTTGCACTGTGGAAGCTGTAACCACTGTACGACCAATACGCGGTTTTTACAGCTGATGATGATGATAATGTTGATGACTGTTCGGCTACCCAAACTTAGACGGGAACAGTGGAGTTGCAGATGTTGGGTTCGGAACACGGACCCTCCAGCCAGTGAATCCGCGTCCTAACCACTCAACTGTCTGTTGGGTTTTTCGCTCACGTGCAAACTACTACAGTGTGCCACTGTAAAATTTATTCCCCAAGACATCGGGTTTCACCTCGTGCCCAAGAAGGTAGGCTCTATGCTGCTAAAGCGACAAACTAAACTGTCCATTGTAAAAAGGCGTCTGCTGTTGGGAACCACCATCTTGGTTTCCGTCGTCAAGCCTTCAGGAGGTTTGAGACAGCGATATTTTCCTGATTTCCAACTGAATTTTTTTGTCCTATTTGTGACTATGCAACACAATTTTGGAGTTCCGGCAACACTCAACATGTACCAAAGACAAGCGACTAAGTAGATGAGGGGTACTGGAAGTGTAACATACACAAAGAGCTCGAAGACGCTAGCTGGAGGTGACTCTTGAACGATAGGGTTTTTGCTAACCACATCCTGAATCGGCGAAATATCGGGGAGTATTCTGCGGTTTATTCGCAGCACCTCTTACGAGGTGACCACCAAGATAACCCAGCCTACGGTTTCATCAGACCGAACTGCCGAAAGACTTCTGCGTACGGATATCTCACTGTTGGAATGAGCTTCCACTCCGCTTAACAAGAAACGTGGTGCTCAATCTGGACACCTTTAGTATGAACCGTGAATTGGGTGGATACTCGAACGCAGTTGTATTTTCAGGACATCTTTCACCCATTTTTAATACACCTGTGAAAATTTCTGGGCACAGGCTTCCGCACCCGAATCCCACTAAAATCATGTGCGGATGAATATCACACCCAAACTCTTGCTCTACCATTTGTTAGCTGATTGCTATTCATCACTTCCAAAAACCAAAATCAGTTGCTTGACAAACATAAAATGTGGGGAACTAGTTCTACCCAAAACTGACATCCGAGCGATACAATTCTGTCAAGTTTTATTAAAACAGCCACAATAGAACAAGAGTTTTTATAAAGAGCGAACCTTAGGTCTTAAAAGAACTCGGCGTCTGTCACGATCTATGTACCCTCATCGGTCAATAACCGTTACGAAACAAAATCCTCGCAAACCTGAAGTTTTCGTCACGCCCGTCGAGTCATCTGAACCGAAAATGGTGTATTCTGCCCTGATTTGTATCGATCGGCCTCTCGTGAAGGAAGGGGGTTCGTTTGCAAAGAAATTCGGTCGAACGAAATTGTTCTGTCCTGTGGCAATCATTTACTTAATAGGAAGTTCTTTACTTGTAATGTACTACTCATAAGGTTGCTGAAAATCCATCGACCTTATGTATAGTACATTACAAATATACATGTATCGCGATATTTCAAATATCGTAGCGACTGAAACATGGGGCGGCCTGGGGCAGCACATTCAGTTGCCTGAGAACATCATAAACGAGAGATTCAGCTGGGTTCCAGGTGAGTCTCTCGAATGAACCAAATTAGTTTGCAAGTGAGTGTATATTCGCTAAGTTCTTTACTTACTCACCGTCATGTGCTTCGTGCGCTTGTCGACTGTGACGCACGGGAACTATGCTCCACATGTTTCGGCTGTGAAGCCGATAACGTAGGCACCGAATTAATTTGTCACGTTCTAGGTTTATCTAGTTTTGACTCTCTGGATGAATACGAACATTCGTCAAGCAGTTCACACATACACTCCACCCGTCCTCATTTCTTAGCACACAATGCACTTCAGAAACTTTTCGAGCTGACTATGGGCGTTTTCTTCACACCTTGCGGTTTCATATACCTATCGATTTAAATCGACCGTTGGTTTCTGCTTATCCCTGCTGGGTACAAGAACCGAGTGAAGCGCTCACAACGGGTTGCGCTCCGTTGACCTTACGGCGATTGGTCCGTCACTCTTGCCATTGGCTCAAGTCACGTGTCCCGTCGCACAGTTTTTGGACAAAGTTGGATGGATGGTTAGCTGAAGTTTTTCCTGTTGACATCCAAGCCGATCAAATTCGACAGCCAATCACCTTCATACTGACACACGTTGGGTCTGGCCAGTGCATGCAGTTTGAGTCATCATGAGTTTTTGACCGATGCTTGTCGCTCACTCTATTGACGTTCACATCACTCGTGTGAACAGCCGTCCTCCTGTTCCGGCGCAACCATTCTGGTGAGTGACCACCGGAGGGGGGAGCCCTGGACTCGGGTTTTACTCTTATTAAAACTCATCAACTTGGACTTGCCGGACATGTGACATGCGAGTCGAGCGTGTTACCACTACCCCATCAGCGTACGCAGGACATCTGAGTTGTCTGAACGTGGTGGACATGTCCAACTGGGTTATCGACCGGACCTGTCACACCGCTCAAGCGTGAAGACTTCCGTCCGTTCAGACGTTGCGTCTCGCTTGTGCCGGTGAGACGTTCACATCACTCGTTTGAACAGCCGTCGCTTGCGCCGGTGAAGCCTGCTTCTCCTGTCTGGAATTCAAACACTGGCACTTCCGATGAGGTCTAATGAGTGAAACTCAAGTCCAGTGCTTCCTCCAAGGATGTGCACTCAACATAATGGTTGCTTCAGAACTGTTTGAACGAGAGTGATATGAACATGAGTTGTACTAATCCCGAACAAGAAACAGCATATTCTGTTCCTGCCTTCTAACCGTTACTCACTCATTCACAAGAGAGCAAAACAGCCTTGACGTTAAGAAACTGCAGGCGTCTGATCTCAGTGGAGCATTCAGCCTCTCGTTTGGGTGATTCGTGCGTGGTAAGCTTGGCAAACAGGTCGATCGAAACAAGCACTGCTCATGGAGTACTGATGCTGGCATCATGTGAGAAAAAATCCGCCTTCTTAGCCTTGGCTCTGTGGACGTAATTAAATGTAACAGAGTCTTTAGATTAGGTGTATGTTGATACGTTTGTGAACTTCCTCCTTGGTCAGTCGTGTTGGAAAGAAGAGTACGTTGCGTTTCGTTTTCTCCGCACTTTGTGAAAAAGACACAAAAATCTAAATTTGAAAGGATTAAACAAACCGAATTGAGTTGGTGAGAGTTGCGGGAATAAAAGGTTACTGAAAACTTCGAAATACTACTTAGGAGCGTTTAGTCGAATACCTTCCTTGGATTTATTATCCCAAAAATGTCCAATCCCCAGGTGTTTAAATCACTTCTTCTATAGATATAACAGTAGCCATGTTAAAGCTCGAGTGATTAGGACAAGAATTTACTCACCGGAAGGTTCGTAGTTCGAACCCGACCTCAGTGTCACGACTGCTCGTGTCCAGGCTTGGATAACCTGATCGCATCTCGGCCCTCGTGCTCACTTCAGGCGGCCTGGAAGCTAGGCATCGCAAGGGTGATACAGCTGGATCATCTTTTTGTGTTGAAAATGCACGAAATAGCTGCTCTTATTAGTCTAATTCGAAATTAGGTGTCATTTAGCTTTCCTTTCTAAGATTAGGTATTACCAGTGTCTTGAACACGAACGAACGTTGATGAGGAATCCTGACGGTGTGGTGAAATGTGACTGATTCGATTCGACAAATCAAAGAGACATGGGTTAAACTTCAATCAAAAACCCCTAAGTAGGGGAAAGAAAAACGGATTCGGTTCTTTGTAGCTAGATCTTGATTGGCTCTGAATTATGCGCCAACTCGGAATGTAGGTGTTGTGGACCACAGTCTCCTTAATGCCTTCTTATTGCCGTGAACCCCGGTCTGGATAGCCTGGTGCACTTGGCCAAACCAGAAAAAGTCAATGAACGTGCGAACCGGCTGATCTATTGATACCCGTCGCGTACAAGCGGGTAAAAAATGTGGTACTAAGAGTACAACTCATCAGTCAAGGACGAGTGAAGAACAACCAATGAAATCTGTCTCAACGAAAACGGTTATTCCGTTGGCTGTTATATAGTCGCGTTACGTTCGGAGCTGGTTCTCCTGATGGTAGGACTGAACATAGATGGATTTATTGAAGCCACGACATTTCTGCTAACCTAATTGGTCACAAGAATGAATGAATAGGCGTGGGAAATCAAACAAACGAAAATCACACAAAATTACAATCAATCAACCCTGTTTTCCTCGGGGCTTTTGCACAAACAAAACTGCTGGCACCCGCTGGTACGTAACAGACGATTGATTTCAAGTCACTTGTCCACTTTGCATACATTCATAATGACCCTGTTTCGGTTAGCCGCGGCAAATCAATCGCGGACTTATTTGAATGACCACAAGGTTAGTTCGGATGAGCGATTCGTCAATCTGGCTGAGTCCATCATCGTCAAGTTTTCATGCATCAGTGAGCATTGCCTGACAAGGGAGGTTCTTCAGACAATGTTCCTCACCATCTTTCTCGTATGAATCGCCCTAGTGTTCAGTGACCTTATGAGTACTGTGTTCCGGCCAGCGATTGTTCCGGTGTTTGAATGCCTCATTGTCTAGATGTAGTTGTAACGTCAAACAGTGAACCCTCGGATCACCGTTAACCAGTTTAGATGGGAAGGGCAAGCTACTGGTTGCCTTGTCATATTCCAGAGCTAGACTGCTGGGAAGTAATTCTTTGACGGTTCGCACTTCATGTGTTAGATAAGAGCACATGATGATCAGTAGTCACAGTTCCATGAGGATGTTAGTAAATAGATCACTGAAAGAACAGTTCCCTGGAAGTTTTGAGATCCTGCTTCCTCCTCGTGAAACACTAAACGTAGGTGACATGGAGGGGTGTACCCTGCATTTGCATTCTGGAATATGACTGGTGGCTACTCCTACAGCATTAGAACGCCCCGCTAACTCTGATTTCAAAAAACAACGGTTTTATCAACCATCGTATGGAAAACAATGTTTGGATTTTCTTCATTCTCACATAATTCTTCCTCGAGACGCGGATGCAAATACGTCGGTATAAGGGCATTGGGCCGTCTGCGTAACATGTTCCGAATTCGTTGGCCGAATAGTACGCACCTTCGCATCATACAGCGCCTGCTCACCAGCATGTTTTTCGGTTAGGCGTTAGCCGTCGTGGTTTCACTCACGGGACTGAGAGATGTCTTATTCTTAATCTTCTAACTCTGTGAACTGTCGTTTGCTACCAACTTCGAGCGAAGCCACAATGACAGACAGGAACCAAGCGAACGATCCATAGAATGTGCTCTTCTCTACGACATAGCTGGCTTCAACAAAATTGTATAACGGTATTGCAGATTTGTAACTGTACTCATATAAGAAATAATTCCGGGATCGTGCTGCGGCTACGCAGGTCCGAGAGAGTAGGAAGTCAAAAAATGAGCAACTACCAACCCGCACCTCATCGGCTGGAAAACGCGGAATTTATCATACAAAACTACAATTGGTAGTACTCGTCAAATATATTGGAATAAGTCGATTGGCGCATAGTTACTTAGACCACCAACAATACAATCGTCTCAGGAGTTAGCGATTATCATTGGACGATGTTTGCATGTACGACAAAGTGCCTGATTGGTCTGGAAATCATACAGATTGTGATTGGTCGTAGGTCACGAGATGTCAAGCTTCGTGGTTGGAGGGAACGAGCCGAGAATCGATATAGCTGCTTCCATTTGGTGGTGTCAACATTTCGGGGGAATTATCCTTACCAGAGGATCACAATAAGAAACACAGCCACTTGGGACAAACTTGCCTATTTCGAGGGACGCAAGATAGCTAGATGAGAAGTTCGGTAGATGAACTTTTGCAAGGTACATAGACACGGAAAGTACAGTAATGTCATTATGATGAATGAAGATAACCAGCTTAATATGATCATATTTGCTTTAGATGTTGTTGTATTTGTGCTGACAAATTATTTTGCCTCGAAGTCACAGAACAACATGTCCACTTCCTACCCTCTTATCACTATTAACATCACATGATATTCGACCTTTATTCCTTTTTACTGTAACGGAGCCAAGCGGTAATTGGGCAAAACAGAACTGAAGGAACTTGATGAATGGACTTGAAACTCGTTAATTTCGATGTAATGTTAAACCGTCCGTCATGCCGTCTTTTCCAAGAAACAGTTTCTATCCCGGATTTCGGACACTTGTTCCCTCATTCTCTGTTCTTGTTTCACGTGCTTGATGGGCTTTGCTGATGAAAGCTGTATCGATCGTATTCCGAGCGGAAATGCCAGATTATGACTGGTGGTTTGTCCTGCAGCAAACATTCAGAGAATATTCGAGACGCGGAGGAAACTTTGATTGACGAACGGACAGAATAACCACCAGAGTGTTACCAAATAGGTTTTAACAAAGAGTATTTTGACACACTTATTCCGTGAGTTTTTGTGACTAACCGGTACTGTTTAGACACACAGCTAAATGAAAAATCTCCATATTCTAATGTGGTTTTCCCTGCTTGGCCACACAAACTGGTCGCCATAGCTGGAAAATTCCGTTGAAGGGTGCTATTCTGATATTCATATCAGTACGTAGACAAAGTGCAGCTGGTCAGTCTTTTCAGAGAATCCGCGACCACTCGGTGGAACAATTTCCTTGGATCTTCTTGTAACCTTTGGCCATCATGATTCACGTTCACAGCCCTCTTGTTTGGGCAGTCGTCCTCGTATCCTAGCGCATTTATTCTGGTGAGTCTACAACAAACGATAGAATCGTCGGACTTGAGTTTTACCCTTATTGGAGCACAGTGGTAGTTCACATTCTTGGCCATATCGAGATTTGAACTCCGGACTTTTGACACGTGAATCAAGCACTAATCCCCTAGTGAACGTGGACGCATCTGAATTTTCACGTCACAAATTTGTTCACACTGGAGCGATGTGATTGGTTCACCCTACTGTTCAACCAAGAGCAGTGTATGTAGATTCTACAGATTCCTCAAGGACCTAGAACCAATTCCATAATTAGCGAAGATGAATTTATGGCGACCTACAAAAATTGGTATCCAACAAACTCAAAGATCACTGGTCAAGTGCCGTGCCCCTGTCGACAGGAGTTTCTCAAAAGAAATGAGTATCTTATCTAGGTAATTATCGACTTCGTAGCGACCAGTACTCAGGGCCGACTGCCTGAGCAGTGATTCCCCTGGTACGACTCCCTGCACAAATGCAAGTGGTCAGTTCTCAGTCCTTCTGAACAACGTCACCCTACCATGGACGAATTTGTTATCTTTTCTCAAAAAATTCACACCAGAGAGCACGTATAGCATCTCGTTCACTCTCCTTATTCAAAATGAGAATCAATATAAAAAGTTACTGCGTCATGTCTGGATCTATCGCCAAACTCTTGAAATTCAAAGCAGATATTTGAATAATTTGTCGGAAAAGCCGAATGTAAAAACACAGGCCCCTGGTGATGACATACTGATGATTCACCAGCTAGTTCAAGTAATCAGTCCTCACTGATGTGTCGGCTCTTAAGAACCACCCTTCCGAGTAAAGGAAGAGATATACTTCTGTGGGAAATCAATCGATCTAACCAGGTGAACAGGATTTTGTCAAGTTACTGCAAAACGCAAGCACCGCAAGCGGAAATGTGCAATGTCACCTGCCATGTCACCTGCTCAGACCTAGTCCCAACTTCGTCCACGTTCTCCATCAGGGCGAATATGCATAGGTCGCACCTATTTGTCATTAGGACACTAAATTCCTCAGGGCTTGTTCACGTTTTAGCCAGTTCGATCATCACTGTAGAAGTCCGGTAGGGCGAATAGGAAGCAGCTGACCGTCTATAGAGTGGTCTGCGCAGCAAGCTCCACCGTGGGGATTAAAAGCTTTCACTCTTGGTGTATCATTGGAACAAACTTTCAAACTAGGGATGGCGGTAAATAACCACGGTATATTCATAATTAACCCCTATACTCTGTGAGAATTACGAGACAGCCACCATTCGAAGGATGACGGGAGGCTCTCACCGAAATCCAGCGGACATTTCAAATTATGTTAACTGTTAATTACGTGACGTAATTATTTGTTTCCTTATTCCTTAAGCTAATTCATCACCCTTCCGGTAACAGCTCAAGTTTCGAGACCGAACGGTTCTATTTTATGCAAAGTTGACTCTACCTCAACCGTTTTTCTATGGACGATTTGTTTACATTTATTTCTGGGCTTGTTGTTGAAAAGTTGTCTCACTTTGAACTGAACAACATTTTTCCCGCTTAATTTGCCTGATGGCACACTGCCCTTCGTGTGCCATCCTGTGTTGCTAACTACCCAAGGTTCACTCTAGCCGTAAGCCTTTCTTTAATTCTCCTCACGATTTACTGTTAACTAGAGAACCAAGGTCTACCTATCTATACTGTCTGCCCAAGTCCAATTCAATGTATTGTCCACTGCCCAATTGTGACTAATGAAGAAGCGCAGCTGAAGTTCGTAGAAATCGGTTTCACCGCAATTATTACTGACCGTTCGTTAGTGAATTAGACTACACTTTACCTGTCAGATAGGACACCTAGATCGTGCGTTTAGGCTAAGTAACCTATTCCTTGCTTTGAGATCACGGCCCTTTGGACAGGATCGTACAAACCATATTAGCCAAGTTAATGCATTTACAGCAGCAACCTTTAAAAGAAATTTTTTCCAAAGCGGTCTATCCATATATACTGTTCAGAGTAACCACTGTATTCCAAAAAATATGGAAAACAGTTGAAATCAAACAAATCACCCAGACACAAATTTTTTCCCGAAATATTTGAAGCGAAACTGTAACCAGTGAAACACATATCGTCTGAGATGGGAAATCAAAGATAGGATTTCTAACAATTCACGTGCCCAATTTACCAGTCAATAAATCACATTACTATGTTGAAGGCTGAGAAACCAATGGCCGTTTAGCTTGCGTAACCTATCAACGCTCACGTCAGTCTGTCCAACCTTAGTTGTAGACAAAGTATGGACAAACCGAATGCTGACGTCACTACGCGATGATTTTCCCCGTCGTATTGTATACCATTATCAGGTTCTCCTAGACCATTAGACGCTAATACGCGAAGTGGACAATAAATAATCGTCGAATCCCACTTCACACTGGTAAAATATGATCAATAATTTTTTCCAGAATCTAGAATGTGTTTCTTCCAGACATCGATACATGGAGACTAATCTATACCGACGGATTGTAGAGGATGGAAGAAGTTAGGCAGTGAAGACACACGTGGATCGATGCCTGTCCTAATAGTTTTTTGCATCCACAGTTGCGGTATACATCACTGTGTCAAAATGAGTAAGCCAATCTTACACCAAACAGTTTCCGAGGTTCAAAGTTTATTTGAAGCTCCACTGAAAGTAGGAATCAAAGAAATAAGTGTGTAATGTGTTAAGCTCGGGTGCAACACACTGGTGAGTGTTAGCGAAACGTTTGCAAGTCAATTGCTAAGCTCGGTGAACAGATCGACAGTCACCTGATCAATTAAGAAATATTTGTGCCTTGAATGAGGTGACTAACTTGAATTGTTAAGTTGCCTCAGGTTATAGTCGGCACTATATTCTTGATATTACAGTATATTCTCTTGATAGAATATACTACTCACAAGGTTGCTGAAAATTGTCCGTTAGTTTGATATCGGTTTTGCCCTTTTTGGGACAACAGACCGAGTTCAATTAATTGAGAAACAGTTATAACCAAAGGCATCAGCTGAAACACTTAGAATGACATTAGTGTATGATAACTTTTAGAGACGGACCATTTGTTAACACGATTCAAGAGAACGACTACCTTGAAAATAGTGGAAGCACACCAAAGACTCTAATTTACTTGAGAAGATGTCGGTAATCCGCAAATTTTCGTCGTTCATGGCGTTTTGAAGCCCTGTAGTTAGCGCGAATACAGGTCAGTATGAGCACCCATATCAAAAGTGATTGATTCTTTCATGAGTTTCGCTCTTCTTCATCCGCTAGTGACAGAATTCGATATAGGACTGATTTTCATGGCTCTTATGATGATGTCTTATACCGACCCAGCCTGCGGCACCTCGTGGGGTTCCACCATGGGATGAAGTGTTTGCAGACCCAGGAGACCAGGACCAATAAAGATAATGGTAAATTCTTTCAGTTACACCATTCTTATCGTAAGCCACATCCGTAGGTCCTGGAACTTGTTTTCCCGTAGCTAATCTATAGTCCGAAGGTTCCGTGTTTCAGTCACTGAACAACCAGAATATCATCCAAATATGGGATCAAACAATATATATATATATTTACGTGTAAGGAGTACACCATACTGACGGAGCACAAAAATGAGAAATAATCTGCGTCTTTAATCAGAAAATCAACAGCATAGTCTTTGCGGATGACAGCACGATGCTTAGCGTTATTGGTCGCTTGCATCACTCGCACGTTTTATCGATTGCTCGGTCGATATCACGACTTGAATCGACACGGTTTGAAAGATGTCATTGATTTTTGGGACCAAACCGTCGATGCCCTAAAACTCCCATGTCATGAGTACACTATCCTAATAATGACGGGATAATACATGGATGTCTGGCGCCTCTATCCACTATCTGGTAACCAGCAGAATTAAAGAATTTGAAACGCTGTGCCAGCTGAATCGTATTTTGGTGGGTTCGAAATATCCTCCTGACGGAATTTGAGAGTGGAGGTTTTTTCTGAGAAATAGCAGAGTTTTTGCCGTATTCTGTTGTAACCGTTATAGAGAGAGAGAGAATACCTTCCAGTGTGTATGCAGAAATAATCAAGCGAACGGCAATAGTGAACCAAACAAAAAGCCTGGAAAATTCATCCCAGCACAACGAAACCGACTGACTGAGTTGGATAGCACCGGATTCCATTTTTAGTTTGTACACGACTTTGATCGTCTTCAGGTGTCCCCTGTGTCTCGGCCCTTGGATATTTCCCGAATTCCTTTCCATCTGCCCTCAATGAGCAACTCGCCCAACACAAGCTTTTGATGGTCTCGCTAGCGTCCGCAGGAGAAGGCGACTCTCTTGACCTGTCTGCCTAAGCACGTGACAAGTGATTATTCTTGTCACACATTCGATGGTTCCAACTACACAAATGGACCGGAAGTTTACTCCACGCACAGCCAAACCTACTGGATCTCTCAGCTAACCGTCAGTTTTGCTTCCATATCCACGTGGTTTTGGTATTTTATGTGAGATTGTGTTGATCTCGCTTTCAACTCCATGCATCATAGTTGTTTCAAATCTCAGAGAGGAAGCCTACATTGTCACAAAACCTACATTCCTAGTAGATTGCTATGAGTTTACTGACACGGCGAACCTGTGATCTTACTGCCTCTGTGTACGTCATTCCATAAAAAACACTCATTTTTAACAGCATGATCGAAAAGTAGCCAGTTAATTGGAGAGTTCGCAGTCGCCCTCAAAGACAGCCACGTTACTTTCGACTGAAGGTCAGCCTAAGAGGAAATACAAATCCTTTATTTCCTCCTTGGGTGAAAAACACTGTCACCATCATCATAAAAATTCCGTTGTTACACATTTAAGTCAAGAGTCCTTCCCAGCGGCTAGAACCTTTCTCACCAACGAACTACTAAACTAACACTACTGAATCCCTGGTCTTTTTGAAAAATTCAACGCTGACTGTCTTCTGCATGGCTCTATCAAGTGCAAAATAGAGTAAGCCAACCGTAAAACGTGCAGAACTTCCACCGGACTACTCGAGATAGCTCGCACGATTAGGCACAAACCTACTGACCGGAAGGTCCGTGGTCCCATCCTCTTTAGGCTTTGGCAACTAGGTAGTATTGTCGGTGTCGTAAGGAGATTTGGGTTTTTTGTGGAGATTTCTTCCTGTAAGAAAGGCCACTCTATATCGAGAAAGCCGAGTAGCACCGTAAGGTTTTTTCACCCTTATTGGGAATCATCAGCAGTGTGTATCTCACGAAACTCCGGAAAGTCTCGAACCCGCGACCTCCTGGCTAGTGGTTTGAACACTTGTCGGTTCGGCCATGAATACTTGGTCAGCAGTGTGATTAACTCGGACTTAGACAGGCTATAGCACCGCTCATCCTTCAATCACGGGATCCACATCACGCGGTCACACGCGTTGACTGGCTCCTCGAGCAGCGACCTCTCAGATGGAAATTTCACTCATCGAGTGAAGTTTATTCTTCCAATGAGCTACTTACAGATTGTTGGTAGTGTGGGTGCTTCTCGGCTTTTAAGCATAAATTGGCCTCACTTATGTGGTGGAATGTCAGTCCTCGAACCTCCTTTGGGTAGCCGAACGATTAGTATTGCCAGTTTCCCGGGTCACTTGATTATATGTAGTAGTGAATCCTGATAAGATTTTCAATTTTACTTGGGCTGTCTTTGAAGCTGGTTGCAGAGCACTACTCATCAGGCTGGAGTGCACATAGTTACTTCTTAGGCGCTTAAACATCAGATGTAAAGTAGCCAGGCCAGCTCGAATTGACGGCTCACAGTTCCTTGCTGATTCATCTGTGAAACTGGAAGCCTTTCTCCAGAGCTTTGCCACTGGCAACGGATCACTCAGGAAGTACACAAACGTCTTTTATGCTCAGTCACATGAGCGTACGCCTTGAAATTTGATACCTTTGCTTGTCATCTTGAAAATGTGGAATGGATTTACTCATGAACGAATGTTTACACAAACAATTTACGCTTGCGTTTGGATAAAAGCATCCGGAAGCGCAAATTCTGTAGACTCACTCTAATGAGACTGACAATGGATCAGGCAGAAAGGTTTCCATACCCAAAGAACGACCAGACTCATCATCATCATCGTCGTCATCATCATCCTCATCCTCATCATCATCCTCATCATCATCATCATC